TAGATCAGTGTCTGGTTCTTTATTACGTGCCGACGGACCTAAAAAATGATTATTAATTTCATCTGGCTTATTAAGGTTAATAGGAATCGAATTCATGGGATATTTCGCAGATATATTAAATTCTTTAATTTTTTTCCAAAAAATTTTACCATTACCTTTGGATTTATTTATACAGTATTCTAGATAGGCCTTTTTCTCATTTCTTATAGCAGAAGTTGTAAAATTTTTCAAGTTTTTATAATAATCCCAGTGATTTGGGTTTCTAGTAGATTTATATTTGTTAAATGCCTTATCTCTAAGCTTAATCATCAATTTAACATTATCGGTTAACCAAGGTGGGTTAGGCTTTTTAAATTTAATGGTATGAACTGGCGCTAAGGTATCAAAAATATTTAATATCGTGCTATTAAGATATTCAACCTTATCATCAATGTTATTAAAAGTAATAATATTTTCAAAAGGGGTAAATAGCAGCATTTCTTTTAAAATAACACGATTAATGTTTTTTAAATTTCTAAACTGAAATTCTTTTGGAGGATCAACTGTAATTGTTAAGTTTAGTGTACAATATGTTAATTTATGATCCGAAATATTGAATACTTCCTTTACACCACTATCAATAGGATCAAACTGGTTAGGTATGGCTATCACATCCAATAAAGTAGCACTATTTTTGGTTACCCTCGTCGGCTCGTTAATAATTTGTTTAAGATTAAATAATTCTATGGTATTAATAAAGTTTTTCGAATTTGTTGAACTGCTATCCATTAAATCAATGTTTATGTCACCACCGCATATTATGTCATTACATGAAGGTATTAATACTGAAAGATTTTCTTCTAGATTCGCAAAAAACTGTTGGTTGTTTTTTTTTGGTGGCTTATAAAAAAGACCGAAAATATATAAACAGTGATTAATTTTATGGGAGGCCACTTTTATATTTTATGGAATATATCTGTTATTAATGTTTGGAGAAAAAAATTCTTCAAATAAAAGTTACTTCTAATATTATTATCTATAATTTTTGTTTTATGTAAAAATTTCCTGAAATGGTCCGTATTCGAGAAATTTGACAAAATGTGCAAAATTTTGATTTTTATGAAAGTTTTTGAAATAAAAGTTGTTTGCGATATCGATCTCTATAATTTTTGTTTATACATGATTTTTCTAAAATGGACCGTAATGAAAAAATTTTAGGAAATTTTAATTTTTCAGTATTTTCGTTTTCCATGAATATCTATAGAAAAATGTTTCGAGGTAGATGTATGTGGACAATGTATATATTTAGTTTATCCTCTAAACATTTATAGAGATGCTGCAATAGGTTGTACAAAATAACCGGAAAAAGCCTATAATAACTAGATAGGAAAGTCATGTGTTGGACACATCAGATTTTTTGAGTTTTCTTCAAAATTCGAAATTTTCACATTTTCTCAAATATCTCGAATACGGTCCATTTTAGGGAAATTATGTATAAAATAAAAATTATAGAGAATTATATTACAAACAACTATTACTTAAACAATTTTTAAAATAAATTATGTTTTTTACAATTTGTTAAATTTCTCGAATATGGATCATTTTAGGAAAATTTTGTAAGGGACAAAAATTATAGATAATAATATTATAAGTAACTTTGATTTGAAAAATTTTTTCTAAACGTAAATAACAGACATATTCCATAAAATATAAAGTACCACCCCACATGTTCCAACTCTGACCAAAATCTAATCAGTTCACTGGAGGCCGGAATAAAGCTTAAGTTTAAAATTTGGTGTTTTTTTGTATCCGTTCATGAGTTATCGAGGATACACACACAGACGCGCGCGCGCGTGCACACACACACACACACACACACACACACACACACACACACACACACACACACACACACACACACACACACACACACACACACACACACACACACACACACACACACACACACACACACACACACACACACACACACACACACACACAGACACACAGACACACAGACAGACAGACACCATCGCGAAAATAGTCAAAACTGATTCAGGGGACCCCAAAACGTAAAAAAACCGTCGAAAACTCGAGTTCGAAATAAATCATGATTCCTATACTTTCCTTATCTGTATACAGATAGGAAAATAAAAAACTATTTAACCATTTAAACAGAAATTGTAAATTAAAACTAAATAAAAGATTTAAAGTTATTGCATATTTTAATACAAATTTTAACGGAATTAAACATTTTTTTAATAAAAAAAAAGTAAAAGTATTTTTGGGTAAAATGTGTTTACTTTTACCCTAAATTTAAAAGTAGTTTTTCAAAATAAAACCGTACTGAACATGAATCTTAAAATTATTTGCACAAAAATAAAACAAATGCCATCGGTATAAAATAAATAGATTGTCCTCTAAATAGTATAATTTAATTACTTTGATGTCTAGTACATTAAAAAAATTAATTTTAAATAAATTGGATACAGGTAAAATATTTTTTATTTTATCCACTATTGTTTGCCATATTAAATTTATTTAGGTATATTCTTGTCTTAAATATCACTTATAACAATCAATTAAAAAAAAAATTAAGTAAGCATTCCAAAAAAAGACCATAAGCATTAATGATTAAAGTTTTGCTAGAAGAATGTTATGAAGGTTAAATACAATATCAATAAACATTTAGAAAGGCTGTGGTCTGATTTTGAATATCCTTTTAATTTCTATATTGTATTTATGAATAGAGTATTAAAATAATAAGAATAAAAATGTTTACTGTTAACCAAGAACAGCTGCAATTGTTAGATAAATAATAAGTAATTAGGTACATGATTACTTTTTTACCTATGTTATATCAATAGTAGGAATAGCATCTTCTTTTAGACGAACATAATCATTTAGAACTTAAGTCAAAGTGTTATTTAAGGAACTGTTTTGAACAGAATACACTATATTTCGTAGATGCCCCAGAACTTCTATTTACAAAATGTACCTATCCATTTCTTACGTTTTTTTAGATCCCGTGGAAATCTGCAATAAATGAATAAAATTGTGTTTATTATATAGATATATAAATTTTGTATGTTAATTTAAAATGTAGTTTCTAATAAATTCTTATTAATATTACTAATAAGAAATCATTTAATTTAATTATTATTCTAATAACCATATCAACATTTTATTTAAATACCACTCTGCACTGTTTATACTTGCCTAAGAAATGTTATTTTTAAATTTTTCTGGTTATACACACCATTGTTACTTGTGCAATTTTGTTTGGCACAAGACGCTATTGTTCTTTTAATGTTTTTGGGACGAATAGTTTATATGAACGTATTGATATGAATTTAAGAATTTAGATGTATAATTTATTTTTAATACCCAGTATAGCTAGCTCAGTAATTATATAACTTTTTTGTTAGATGATGAACACTTATATTTGTATTAGAATTTTGGATTGGGTTCTCTCACTTGTATTTCTCACTATTAATAATTTAGATAATCAAAAGAAAAGAAAAATAAATAAAAAATAAACTCACCTACGAAATCTCTATAACTTTTCACTTCCAAATATCAATTTACCTATTCCCTTTATGTTTGATTTGATCACACTGTATTGTAATTTAGACCAAAAATTTAAAAAAAAATTAATTTATAAATTATATTATTTTTTATTGTCGTCTTCTTCTTCTCAGCCTTGTCTGTACTTCCTTCTCCTTACTCTCCTATTTACACTGATATTGTTCTACCGCCTGCCTTATTTCTGCTATCTTGCCTTGCTAGTTTTCGTTTACTCTTTATTTTAAATAAAATTTTTCTTTTACCTTATTTTTAATATTCTTTATTCAATTCTCCATCTTATTACAATCTTTAACATTCCATATTTCTATTTATCTCTCATCTTTACATAAAACCATCATTTACCATCTTACAAAAAAATCCATTGACAATTCTCCCCTGACAATTAATAATTTAAATTCTGAAACTTCCAAATTGACTTTTCCCCGAAACATTGATTTTCATTTCTATTTTCAAAACCAAACATAGAGTGTTTAATTTTTAGTTAACCGAATTACGTCATAGTATATAATTAATTATAATAGAAACTGTCTCAAATGAACGAAGTTTAGTATCAATATGGCCGACGTGGTGACATTTTTGACCACTTGATTGCGTCTCCTTCCCTATTTTACCTCCATTGTTATATCTCTAAAACATCAGCACATTTAGATAATCCCACTTATTCAACGGTTTTCTCAAATTCTGACATTTTTTGAAACAATATAAGAAAAAATTTTCTTTTATACGAAAGACTTCAACGTTCTAATTTTAATCCCCAGCATTTTTTATCATCATGAATCTCAATTTCAAATATGCCCCTTGGTCTTTCCAAATTACAAAAATTCACCTCTCATTATCCAAATTTGAAAACTCTCTGTCAATTATGCTTTTTAATTTATTTTGTTTATGATGGCGGCTTTTTGGTAATAGATATGACAAAAAATTAATTAGAAAATTTGCCTGAAATAAAAATATAAGTCCGTATCCCAAATTTCAAAATCCTCGGCAAACTTTGAACTTTCATATTGACAAAATAAATGAAAAGTCATAGTTTGCAGATGATTTTCAAATTTCGTATATGGACTATAAATTTTAGTTATATCTACAACATAAAAGGGAGAAAAATAGGATTTTAGAAAATTTCCGAGACACCCTTGATTTTTTAAAATTAAAATAATGTTGAAAATTGGTCTTAAATCAAGCAGGGATAAACGCCAAAAAAAAATTAATTTTAATTTTAATTTTTGTACCTTTTTTTAAGAGTCTTTTCACCTATCCGGGGACACACTGTATATTAAATATGAGTCTTACGACCACATTTGAGCATACATATATACCTTCTTCAAATTTGTTAGGAATTTCGTAACTATTTTCATTGTGATATGTATAGAATGAAAACGAATCAACCCATTCCTGAAACAACCTGTAGAAACAAGTATTTGATATTTTAGGTAGCCCCTCGTGAAATCCACTCACCGCCAGAGCAATTAGAAATGATTAGAAAGGTTACCGAAGCTTGTGCCAAAGAAACAGCTGTCAAAGAGGATATAGTTTTGAAAGCAAGAAAAGGCGATTTTTCAGATGACAGTACTTTTAAAGAATATGTAATGTGTACTATGAAGAAATATAATATTGTTACAGACGGAAAAATTAATAAAGAAGCTATTGACCAACATGTTATAGTTACGACAGGCGACAAAGATTTTGCAGCAAAAATATTTAATAAATGTCATCAAGAAAAAGATGATCTCGTAAATACTGTTTTTGAAATGATGAAATGTTATTTCAAAGAGCTCCCTATTTCCGTTGTATAGATTGGTTTTTCATACTAATTTTAAAATATAGATTTACTTAGTAAATGCTTAATAACTAACCGAGTTTAATTATATACCTTTTTATAACCTTAGCTAAACAATATTGCATATAGTATTTATCTTCAATATTTTTCGTACTATATTATTAGCACATTAAAGGGCGCCATGGTGAAGAAGCACTCTTACCCTAGATTTACAAAAATCCAATTTCCCCCCTAAGTAAGAATTTAATGTATCTACTAATAAGTCGCAAGCGTTTCATTCATTCTACTCATGGAGATATACAGGATGAGTCGGGAGGAGCGCACCAAACTCTAGGAGTACCTATATTATACACGTGAAAATAATGTAAAAAAAATCATGTTATCCGATTTTCATTTATTTTCAAGTTATAGCATATTAACAAATAAACAAATTTACACATAAAAATTTTCTTAATCATAGCGTTCTTTCAATAAATGTTCAAAAATACTGGCCATTGACTTCTAAACATTTTCTGCTTCGTCTACGAAGAGCGATTGTTGCTCTCCTAATTGATTCATTTCTTTCTTTACTGTACACTGACAGTTCATCAAAACGTCAGAAATATCAATTGCCTTTGAGCCTTGAACATATGGCATACTTTGATAATGTTAAAATTCAGAAGTGGAAAGCTAGATGAACATTTTTAATTACGCCATAACTTGAAAACAAATGAAAATCGGATAAGAACATATGAGTTTTTTTACATTATTTTCACGTGTATAATATACTCCTAGAGTTTGGTGCGCTCCTTCCGACTCACCCTGTATTACTATAAACATGGATGTGCCATAAGACAATTGTTACTAAAAATTACATTCTGGATGGTGCTTAAAAAGACCCCTACACTGTCCGCCTTGTCCTCATCTTCATAAATCCCTTTTTCGGGTGAATCAGTCTTCACCATCCATTTTAAATGGACCATGATTTGAGCATCTTCATATTATATTTTAATATGGCTACATATATTGACCCAATCCTCTGTTTACACTTCATTAAACTTAATACTTGTTAAATTTTTCTCGCCTTTCATGACAAAAATATAGTATTCCGAGATATCACCAAATGTTTAATCAATGTGCAGGCTTTGATTAACTTGCAATGTTTATATGTTTGTTTAGGTCAAATCTTTCTACTGAATTTTATCCACAACCGATTGAGCTGAAATTTTGTATGTACATTTAGTTTGAATGACAATGCATGATGATGTTATTCTAAATTCAATATGGCGGACTCCAAAAGATGACGTACCTACTAGTTATTTTTTATGCACCCCATAATATCGCTTAGACAGGGAAAGAGAGAGGACGCGTAACAAGTATATAGAGCACTTCTTATATTTTGTGCCGATTATCGATTGGCCGCCATTATTTTGTTGCTAAGCATTTCGGCGTCACCACAGCTTTTTACTCTTGTTTATTTGTAATTTTTAAATCAAACGACATTTATAATTAGTCTGTTACAATTGTTTATTCACGAGGGTTTTTCCACATCCCCAACTAGCCATAAAAGTGTATTTGTTGTGAAGTCCTCATCATAGTCCAGGAGACAGTGACGATTTTCGGTATTTATTTTCCCAGTGAGCAAGCACGGATAGAGAATTGTAGGATTAGCAATTCTAAGCAAAATTCATATATATTTAGAGGGGGGGATCCGATGGGCTGAGGCCGAAAATGCGTCAAAACATACGAGAACACGGCCCTTTTTTTAACTGAAGTTAATTAAAAAAATAGTCTGATTAATCTGCGAGTATGGATAATATATTTGTTATTATTACTTCATTCTTATGCATATATTAAAATGTTTTTTAACTTGTGCTCTTATGATTAAAAGATGTAGGTATTTTAGTTATGTTATAATAGAAATATATGATACATTGTATTGACTGACCTACTGGCCACTGGTCATTCCACTTTTACTCCCTTTTTTCATAAATTGTCAAATTATTTAAAAACAAATACATACCTAGCTATTTTCTGTAAATTACATTAAAAATGTAAAAAACGTATTTCTCATCTATTAAATAATTGTTATTAACGATAAAGAATACTTTTAATTTATTAAAACAAAAATAAAACCTGTCTCAATAACTTTAATCAGTGAAAATAAGTTGCTTAAGATGGGGTCGTTTTTATGGAAAATTTTAGTGTTAATACTTTACTAATAAAACTACAGTTAATTTATCTTATATATACACAACGGAAGAGTTAATTGGATTTTCTTCTTGTTGAGTTTTAAAAATATTAATTTAACATGATTTAAAAACAAATACATGAAATAGGCAAAATAGACCTGCAAAGGCACTTTGTGCACAATCTCACTTGTATCGATGTGACGCAATGCGCGAATTCAATCTGGCTTACTTTTGTTAATAGATTGGCGTTCCATTTTAAATATACAGTTCACTGAGAATAGATTATTTAAATATACACGGACCGGGAAAACAAGTACGAAAAAAAATCACTGGCTCCTGGACTAGTACTGTATCGAAGGAATTTTATAAATGATACAATATACGACCCTCTACAATTACGGTCTACTCTAGTTCCGCTGTTGTCAGACGTTTTTTTTTTTGGACAATTTAAAGACCTAACAGTATTTCAAGCAAACGCAATAATATTACTACAGTTAAAATCATCGCAAACTTGGCATAATTATTTTAATTTTATCTAAATATTGCATTTCTGTCGAGGATCATCCGCGTTGACCTCAGAAATTGTGTAATCTGTCTTGGTTATATATATCTATAGGTAAAAGCACGTAAACTTGGCATCAATGTTCAATCAGATTATTGGGTTTCTACACCGCGGACACCAACGTTCATTCTTTAAAAATTTTGTAAATAATCCTATCTGTCTTGGTTATATATCTATGGGTTTTTCTCATATGCATAATATGCCAACCCGTTTACTGCGCACACCGTCCGGCGCTTGGGTCCCAGTATAATTATTAATCTTGGGTGCTCTGAAGTCCGTCTTACAATACCAAAATTATATTAAAATGTAAAGCACACTGAATAATTTATTAACATCTTAGTAACACACAAAAAGTAATTTTTCAACAATTTTAATTTATATATACCAACAAATTAAAAAATCATGAATTAACTTAGATACTTGTACAATTTTAACCTGTCTTTCTGTCCGCTCCATGCTTGATGGCTCCCCCGTGTGCCCGATTCCGTGGTGACGTGAGCACTCTGCCAGTCTGCCAACAAAACAAACAATATGGTTATGGTTGCCGACAAAAACATGTGAGTGTATTTTTATTTATTTTGGTTTTTAGTTTTAGATGTTATTTAGGATTATTTAAAATTAAGTAAAGATATTTTGATGCTTTAACAAGTTTTTATCAGGGAAAATTCATTAGAAATGCATAATAGTAAAAATATTCCTAATATGAAAATTGTATATGGCTGTGGCTTTGAAATGAAAATTACACGCAATTTAGCACAGATAACTAATGAATATTACAAGCATTTAAAAAGACATTTTTAATTAAATATTAAACTTTGAAGTGATCATTACTTTTACTTCAATATTAACTGTATATCATTATTTTAGATGAAATTGTTATTTTAGAAAAAACTATTGAAAGTCTTCGTGAAGAAGTAAAACAGATTACTAAAAATACAACAAATCAAAAAAATATAGATTTGCTCCAGCAGGAGTGTAACAGTAAAATCCGGCACTCCTAGAACTCCATGAGCTAAATAAATATACAATATATATCAACAATTAATAAACATTAAAAAACATTAGTAAAGCAATTTCAAATAATACATCTGTACTTTTTATTCAAATAAAATATGTTGTGTTTCTATTTATTAAATATATAAACGGGTTTACCAGCACCCAGAGATAAATCTCTGCTAGCACCCAACCACGGCATAAGAAATAATCGGCCATGGAGGAAGGATTATTAAGAGTTTCCGTTTCTTTGTAGAAATTTGGCAACATGTTTGCTTGTAGCGACCGGTGGGGGGAGTTGTAGAACTAATCGTACTCTGTCGGTAATGTAGTTACCAGCAGTATTACCATCAACTTTTACTCTGTCGTTAATGCAGTTACCCGTAATATATTTAATTTGAAAATTACAAAATTTTGGTAGTGATTTTTTTAATTTTTAGTGAAATAAAAGACATGTACGTGTAGCTAAAATATGTTCCTCTGGGGCCACTTTTTCAAAATTTAATCAAATTTTGATGGCAATAAATCGCAAAAATTATGTTTTTATAAAGATTTCAAAAATTGAGAAAATAATTAAATAAAATTTCGGAATAGTGGCTCCAAAAAATGGACATTTCACTTTTACCTTTTTCATTCACTAAAAAGTAAACTTAAACTATAGAAATATTTATGGCTCTATTTCGTATTGTTTAGAAAAAGATAATTGCTTAAGTAAATTTTCCTCTTAATTATAATTAAAATTTTGTTTTTTTTTTTAGCTGTTTGTAACAATTATGAAATGCCAATACAAAATTGTAAAATTCTATGACAAATAATTATGAGGGATAAAATAAATATCATACAAAGTTTTATATATCAAAGGGATTGGCAATACAAACAATTATTTTTCATGCACTTCGCCCCCACACAAGCAGAGCTTTATGGGAAGCAAGAATGGCATATTATTACTATTATTATACTATGGCGCTCCCCGGACGTCTTATAAATGACTCTTTAAGAAAGTTACTCTAATATCACAAACATTACATTACTATTTCGGTACGTTAACTATCTTTGGCTAAAAAAAATCAGAAAATTGCACAACAAATAAATAATTTGTATTGATGTGAAAAACTAATAATAATAAATAAATTTTTAAAATAAAAAAAAAAAAACAAAATAAAAATTATTCACGTAATATTTTTTAAATTGTTCATTTATTAGTTAAAGGCATTTATTCTGGGGTCCTGTGCAAAT